GTATATCATTGGAACACAAGAAGTGATAGAGAGTCAAAAACCAAAATATTGTGGAAGGCTTTGAGGATGAGCAATGGGAAAATTTGGGAGGTAAAATGAGGTAGAAATGGGATGCCAAAGGAGAGAGATCTGGAGATGGAGGGAAATACGTGTCAAAGAGAGATCAAGAAACCTGTAGCAGGTGGAGAGAGGAATGGACACAAAGGGTATGTCTACATTGCATTCCTCCTTCGAGAGAGGAATGCAAATGCAGACAAACGAAATTGCAAATGTAGTGCGGATTTGAATATCCCGTGCTTCATTTTCATAATCGTGGCTTTTCCGAAATACCGTATTTTGAGAGAAAAAAAAAGTGTCCGCATGGGGTTATTTTGAAAAAAAAAAAAAACCTTCCTTTGAAATAACCATTAAACCTCATTTTTTAAGGAGAAAGGGTTATTTCAAAGGAAGGGTTTCTTTTCAAAATAATCCCTTTTTTTCTCGAAATACGGTAGTTCGGAAAAGCGGCCAGACGCAATTATACAAATGAAGTGCGGGAAATTCAAATCCATGCTTCATTTGCAATTTCGTTTGTCTGCATTTGCATTCCTCTCTCAAAGGAGGAATGCAATGTAGACCTACCTGAAGAAGGGAAAGACCACTGAGGTAATCAGCAGAAGAGAGAGAGGTTGAGACTGGCATTTGAAAGCAAGCAGGGACTGGCTCATCAATTATGGCAAGAACAAGTGGAAAGGGAGAATGGGAAGCACAGTAGAAAGAAGGAGAGGACAAGGCATGTTGCTCTTCAAAGAAAGAAAAAGGAGAGAGATTTGTAGGGGAAAGAAAATAACACATAGGACATAGAAAGCAATAGGCAGAGAAGGGTGACTGACAGAATGTGATTTGGAGAGATTGATAGTGGAAGGTGGAAGAAGAATAACCCATCATAGACAGGTTATCAAATAATATCTAATTTATTCATGTTTCTATGGCTCAGTGGTTCTCAATGTATTTACCATTATGGGCCACATATGCAGCTCTCAGTTGCTTATGTGGGTGGCACCCACAATATATATATAGTCTGTATGTCCATGAGGTGGTCATATGGGATGCGGCTGTGTGCTGACTGGGCTGCAAGTTGAGAATCATTATGGATAACTATATTTCCCTGGCAGGCAACTGAGGGCACCGTTACTATTACACAAATCCCTCCCTCACCAAAAGGAGCAGCCAAGTGCTTTCTTTGAGCATGATAAATATGCAAAATATTCTTGAGCACTTCAGGCTTAAACAATGTGCTCTCCAAATCCCCCTCTAGTCCTGGACAACCTTTCTGGCTGAAACTTGGCAGCTCCATTAGAACCTGCATGTAGGTTCCCTAGAGCTATCCTTTTATAGGCTTGCCTGTTAGTGATATTCTTGTACTGTCTATTGAAAAACCCCCAACCCTGCTGGATAAAACAACCCTGATTCGGTTTAACTCATGAGTCTTATCAGAAATGGTAACGTTTCCCATTCCTCCTTCCACAACTTTACTTGCCATGTCTGCGTACAGTGCATATGCTGCCCTTACAGCAGCTGTGGTATTTGTTTGTAGCAATCCCTATTTGTGGCCTGACTGAAATCTTATTGAAGTCAATGGGAATTGTTTTGTTAACTTTAATGGGATTTATATCAGGCCCTTAAGGCCCAGCCCAGTATGGCCTTAGCACATCCAAATATCCCATTGAACTTTCAATATAATTTAACTTTCCTGATTTGGTGAGTGTGATGTTGCACCCAATATTTTTATGGAAATATGCCTATGAATGTGTCTAACTTGAATATGCTCTATGCAAAGTATTGTGTGTAACCAATTAGTGGAAAACTTGCAACCTCCTGAATGCATATATTCTATTTATATGCACATATCCTTTCTGTATCTGAAATTAGGAATTTTGACTGTACATTTGTTATGAATGTGTGCACACTGAAAAAACCCTTATTTCCAGTCCATCAGGAACAACTATGAAGAGGCCAGACAGAGAGCCCATTAACAAAAGACAAGTAAGTGGGGGAGAACTGTCTCCCTGCTACAAAAGTGTATGCCCATGTCACTTGATACTGGAATCCATTTTGAATTTTGCACATTTCTACAGGGATGTGGGGAATTGAACAAAGACTTCCCGCCCTAGGGAAATAAGACAAGATACGTAAACACCGCTTGTGTTCAGCTGGCTTGACAGACTGCTTCCCCTCCTCAAGAGGGTACATGAAAACCACTGGAAGCAAAAGGTCCATAATGACAGAGGTAGAGAAGAATTGCTGAGCCACACCAGAAAGAACATCTCTGATCTGAGAAGGATTTTACTTGCTATAAGAACTAGGGTGAGAAATTATAACTTGTAACAACTTCTCATAGGCTTTTTGCCGGAAGAGGCAATGCAAATGAAATGCTGATTAGCATTTTGTCATGCTTCATTTGCATAATCTATTCCAAGCATTTTTTGCACAATGGGTTTTTGTGCAAAAACAAGCAGTGTGGCCATAGCTGTTTTGTGCAAAAACCCCTTTTTGTGCAAGATCCTTATGCCTCTCCCCCTTTCTGAACCTAGTCCCAGGGTGGGCAAAGTGGGCTTCCTCCTTGCTACCCTCCCTTCTCCTCTTTTGCACTCTTCCAGCTCAGTTGGCTCCCCCGCTGCTAGTGTGTGGAGTGGGGCTGGGCTTGGTTTCACTTTCCCAGCCCAGTTGCTACTGAACCTGCTGCTGGGGGCTCTTTTTCCCTTGCCTTATCCCCACAAAGCCCCCCAAAGTCCTCTTCCCTTGCTAGTGTGTGTAGAGGTGAGGGAGAGGGGGGAGTTGCCTAGCCCAACAAGCCCTGCAGAGATAGCTGCCAGATCCTCTCCCCTTCCTGCCCTCTCCCCCCATGCTTCCTGTTTTCTGTGCCCTGCGGTGGAGTTGGGTGGGAGGTGGAATAACAATTTCAAAATCTTTCTGCATTATTCATGCAGTAGCCACTGCTCCTGGATTACAGAAGAATTTCAATTTGGGCCTTTATGGTATGACTCCTCCTCCCACTGTGTGATGCTGGAGCAATCTGTCAGAAGAGACAGTGGCCTCCCCCATCATCAATTTTCAAAGGGCGAGTAAAAAATGTAGGTAGGCTGGCCAGCCTTAGGCTGTGTGTGTGGCAGGGAAGGCTGGATCATTTGTGGGAGCAGGTATCCTGTGCTGGTCTGCTAAGTGGAACTGGGCAGAACAATAAATGGTTAGGAGGAATGGATCCCCCTCCTCCTGGCCCTTCAGAGCTTTCCCACAGCTAAACAGTGGCCTGAGCCAGGGCAATGTTTTTTTTACTTGTTCAAGTTCTATGATGGTCAGTATAGGGGGAGGGAGTTTTTGATTGGGGAGGGAAGTGATCTTGAGCACTGGGAGCCTGGGACAGAGGGCTGTGGAGGGAAAAAGAGGGGGGCAGAGGTAGGAGAGACATAGTGGCAAGGAAGAGAGAAGTTATTGGTAGGATAGGTCTCAACTCAACTCTTTCCAGTGGCTGGGAGATTACGTTTGCCTGGTGAGAACAAGGCTGGGGATTTGGTTCCTTCACCTCTGGGGCTATTGGGTCTGCCAGTCCGATGCATAAACCTGGCACCATCATGCTGCCTCAGTGGGACATTTTACCTCCTTCGCTCTGTGAACTGAATGGGGTAAAGCAGCAGCCAGCCTACATTTCACTGGCAATGTCCCTTGGCAATTCTTATTCATTGTCTGAGGTGGTTACTGCTGTTGAAACAATCAACTTAAGAAGCCCTCACTGGTTTGTGTGAAGAAGTAAAAATGAGGTGGCAACTTTTACAGTTTGCTGCTAGTCAACTTCTTCCTTTCAGGGGGCAAATGCCAGCTCAGGGTGAGGCCTGACATCTGGTTTTATTGTGTGAAGAAAGGACAGCAATTTCTCAAATAGCTTTAACTGGTGCTTGCCATTCTGTGTCCCCCAGGATCAATGAGAGGAGTTTGGGGCATGTGCAAGCTGTCTACATGTCCACTATGAGGGTATCTAATAAACATGTGACTGACATTTCTTATTCCCAGAGTTAGTGCTGTTAATTAGGCACCTTTGCATATCTGGCACATGGTACAAAACATGCTCCATTTTGTTGAGAGAGAATTTGCAGAAAAGTGGAGGGTTTTTTCAAAAATAATTTGCTTGGGTTCAGGGATATGGCTCAAAGGGGACAAGTATGCAGTGAGCAGGGACACAGGATGCTCAGGGAAGACAGGAGGGACAGAGTGGGAAGAGAATGGGGTATGGGCAGGGAAGAGGATAGGGCCTGGGCTGGGAAGCTATTGCCACCCCAAGTGGAAGCTTCTCCAACTGCCCATGATCAATGGTATTTTCAGCACACTAAGCGACAGTCACAAGGGAATCTCTGTGACTGAACCCATCACAGTGAAATTAATGGGAAATTTGATGCAAATCAAGTCATTCATACTTTTTTTCAGAGCAAAGAGCTGACCTCTTCCTACTGCTTTAGTTAACTTTTTCAACCCGTAGAAATGCTTCAAGAAACCATTTCCTCTTATTTTATAGGTCATTCTGATCAGCCCAGACAATGACTTACAATAACATTTTCAAAAGCATCAAATGTCATCACATTAAGTGTGTTTAAAGTGTCTGACACATCTGCGTATCATCTACACTAGAAACATATGTGCCTATTTTCCAATAACAGTGTTGAACAAGATCAAAATTGCTCTATTGCTGGAAAATAAATGAGTACAAAATTTACAGGAGCAGACTGGACCTAGGAAAGCCAATATAGATGTAATGAGTTTATCTCCTAATAGGAAGTTTATTTCCTCCTTAAGATCCTATAAAATGTTTTGCAAAGTATATAATACCCCAGTGTGGATGTAGAATAGGGGATTTTTATAGAAATCTCCCACCATTGCTGTAGCACTGGGATAGCTCTGTTGTGCTAGTAATGATTCTTATGTAGAATGTCTGCCTATTTTTTGTCATTGTGACATCTAATGCTGCTAAGGGCAAATCTGGACAAAATGTCAGCAGTTGGTCTTCACTAGGTCTCCCAGTATTGCTAACACAGGGAGCTGAACGGTACTACAACAGTGGTGAGGGATTTTCCTTCAAATCTTTCTTGAAGAAAAGGTGATGATTTGTTGTTGTTTGTGAGATTTTTTAAAAGAAAATATTGTGAGGATTGCAGCCTCTTTTTGGCTTACCCTGTTTTATGAACGAAATCTACAAGTAGAAGTAAGGCATTTTTGGGTGTGGAAAAATAAAATCACTGCTATCTAAGTAGCACCATATGCATGCATGAGGTGTTTACAGAAATATAATAAGACACAGCCCCTGCCTTGAAAAAATTAAAATGAAAGGACTTCATCCTGAAAACATTTAGACACACAAGAGATTCATGGCTTCAAATTGGACTTAACTGAAGTCCCTGAAACTTCTTACATGAATAATGATGACACGTGTGAATAAAGGTCTGATTTTGTGAGCCTATGTTAGATGAGGTTCAATCAAAAACAAGCAAGAGGTGGATGGGACAACACATAATTGTTTAATTTGGATTGTTCACATCAAATACTCGTTGTTTGGTCCAGGATTTTTTCCCCCTTCAGATGTGTCTATTGACACCTGTGGACCCAAAGCACTAGCCTAATGGTATAGCCTGTGCTGGGGGCTTGATTTTATTGGGACTCAGTGCCAGAAGCCCAAAGAAGAAAAATATTTCATATTAGGGTTGTCAAACAATTAAAATTTAATCACAATTAAGCACACCATTAATAATGGAATTCCATTTCTTTAAATATTTGAAAATGTTTACCACATTTTAAAATATATTGACTTCAATTACAACACAGGAGACAAAGTGTATGGTGCTTATTTCATATTTATATTTTATTGTGAATAGTCACACTGTAAAAAAATAATAAAAAAAATAGTATTTTTCAGTTCACCTAATTCAAGTCCTGTAATGCAATCTTTTTAATGTGAAAGCTGAACTTACAAATTAGACTTATGTACAAGAAAACTGCATTCAAAAAATAAACAATGTAAAATGTTAGCTCGTACAAGTTCACTCTGTCCTACTTCTTGTTCAGCCAGTTCCCCAGACAAACAAGTTTGTTTACATTTGCAGGAGACAATGCTGCCCACTTCTTGTTCACAATGTCACCTGAAAGTTTGCATGGTGCTGTTGTAGCTGGCATTCAGGCCCGGATTAACACTTCTGGGGCTCAAAGGCTTCTGGATTTTGTGGGGCCATCGAGGTTCCGGTATGTGAACCAAAAATGAGGGGTTCAGTGTATGTGTGTGTGTGTGTGTGTGTGTGTGTGTGTGTGTGTGAGAGAGAGAGAGAGAGAGAGAGAGAGAGAGACTGTTGGGGAGCACGGTGGGAATGCAGGGTCTGGGTGGGAAGCAGAGTACAGGAGCAGGGTGAGGGTATAGCTTGCAGGCGAGCACTGCTAGGGGTGATATACGTGACTCCAGCTGGAGGAGGGAGAGGGGGAACAATAGTGGATGGAGCCACTCCCTCCCCACCGCTCCTCCGGCCAGGCAAAGCTCTAGTCTAGTGAATGCAGAGCCTTCCCATTCAGAGGACAGTATTGGGATGGCCACCTCAGAGCCCTTTTTAAAATTGTGATTAATTTTTGAGTTAATCAAGTGAGTTAACTGCTTTTAATCAACAGCCCTATTTCATATTCATGTAGGTAAAAGGCCATGCTTGGTGTCCTGAGAGAGCTATGGAATCCTCCACACAGCTTTGTTAATTAATACATTTAAAATCAGGGCCTCTTGGAACATTTGCAGTTGAATTGTTAATCATGAAGGATGTCCTATTCAGGAAGCATCCAGAAGGAAGAACATACTCCGGCATTATTATGATGGAAACAGAAAGGAAACACAGTCTACTGATTTTTTTTCCCATACATGCCGTATTCTATGACCTGGAGTTTCCAGCTATCGGTTTTGATCCTGCAAACACATAGACATGTGAGTAAAGTTACTTACTTGTGTAATCCCAATGACTTCAGTTGAGCTATTGCTTGTGAGTAACTTTACTCCTATGCATACATGATTGCAGGATAAGGACTTTAGTATGTAAGTGTACAATATAAAACTGTCAAGGAAGCTGATGATATAAACATTCCTAAAACCACACTCAGTATTACATAATATTTATTCTCTCTCTCTCAAAACATTTTGTGAGCGCAATATCACTGCCTTTGAAGTCAGTGGGAGTTTTCCATTGGAGCTAAATTGAGCCTTGTACATGTGCTACCAAGCAGTTTACTACATCAGAAAGAATATATAAAAAGCCTTATATTACTTAGCATTCGTTCCTTATAAAGCACTATATTCAGAGTTTTTCTGTTTCCTTAGTATGAGCTCCTCATTTCAGAATCCATAATGTGAATAATTAAATTAGTGGTAGATCACACTACAGTACAAGTTACATATATACTTATGCTGGCATTTAAAGAGGAGAATCTTTCTTCTCCTGCACTCTGCTTTTTATTATAGGAGGAGCTTGTTGCCCTGACAATAGCACTGCCTGACACTTTCCAGTTCAAGTATCTATTTTATTTGTTTATGACTTGGCCATATTTTAACTAGTAAGGCTGAAATTTTCCATGCTTCGTGTTTGACTCAGGCTGGTTTTGTTTTATTTTAAATTTCAGTTAACATGATTCAACTATTTCTAAGAACAAAATAAAGGAAAAGATATATTGTTTGGCCTATGTTAAAAAAGTTTCTTACAACCTTCTCTTTGAGAAGCTCTGGCATTGCAATGTTTTGGGACAGGGACTTGAAATTTGGCGGGAGTGGAGCTGGTGTCAGTGATGGGCAGATTGCCAGCTCTATGAAAAAATGCCTGCATTTGGTTGAATCTAAACCTCTGAAAAATCTCAATTTGCAAGTTCTCAGTAGAGCTTTGTTAGAATTTGGCAGCTAAATTCTCTAAGGAGTCCATCCCATTGAGCTTGCTGCAATGTAGGGATGAGGGGCTGAGTGGGGATCTTCCTGAAGTTGCCACCAGAAGAGTCTTGTGTGCCAGCACAAAAACTGAGAGCTGGGAGAGTTTCTCACCTGTGCTACAAGGCTCCCCCTGCAGGCACCAGGCTATGTGGGGGAGAAAGTTGACTGAAATGCAGAAGGTCTTGGGGAGAACACCTGGGCTACGTCTACACTGAAGGCTTCTTACGGAAAGACTGTGTTGCGAAAGAGTTCTTGTGCAAAAGTTATTGCGCAAGAGCGTGTCCTCACTGATATGTGCTTTTGCGCAAGAGATGTGCTTTTGCGCAAGGGCATCCATGGCAGTGTGGATGCTCTCTTGTGCAAGAAAGTTCTGATGGCCATTTTAGCAGGAAGCCAGCCCTGGAGCAGCGCCTTGACCGCATGACTCTCACTGCCACAGGCTTGTTGACTCATGGCACAGCCACAGGTCCCCCGAGACTCCCCTGGCCCTCTCAGGGAGCATAACCAGAGTTCCCAGGACTCACCGAGGGGTAGCAAGCAGCGGTCATCCTTGTGGTCTGGAGCGGAGATCTTGTCCCTCCTTCAGCTGTGCGGGGAGGAGTCCCTACAGGCTCTCCGCTCCAAATGCTGCAATGTGGACATTTAAGGCCAGATGGCCAAGGCCCTGGCGGAGCAGCCCACCCACCCCGGACCTTAGAACAGGAGTAAGGTGAAGGAACTCCGCCAGGTCTAGGTCAGGGCCCAAGAATGCAGCTCGTACTTTGGGGCAGGACCCCACACCTGCCCCTACTTTAACAAGTTGCACCAGATCCTGGGGGGTGGGGAAGTCCTTTCCCCACCCATCGTCATCGACTCTAGCCTCGAGATGCCCATTGTCAAATGGCTGGAGGTCGCAGAAGAGGAGGAGGACGAGGGACAGCAGGGGCAGGAGGAGGAGGACAACACAGCAACAACTGTCACGCTGTCTCAGGAGCCGGTTCTCACAAGCCTGGATGTATTGTTTGATGCTGGGGAGGGATCTTTAGGTGAGTGCTCTCAGTTTGTCACGCACGCAGGGTGGGGGAAGCAGGCGCAGAGGGGGAGAGGTGCAAGCGTTGCTTGGCCTGCTTGGGATGGACATCGTGCTGCAATCTGGGAACGTGGAACCACGTGCAGCGTTATTGTGCACCACATGGACTCAGCAGGCAGCCCCTGAGCACCCCCAGGCTCCTGCTCCCAGGCTTAGGGGACATCACACAGTTGTCTGGCCCCAGGGGGAGGGATACGCTTCCACCACCTGCTATGGCTGGAAGCAGGCTAGCCACAAGGGTGCAGGCATGACCCCAGACACACGAGGAGTGCCGCACACAGCTCACAGGCATGCCTGCATGTGCGAGGCACCTTGGGGCCCCTGTGAGGCAGGGCCTGCTGTGCAGGCCACACATGGCCTTCTCCTGGGACATCCCCCCTCCTCTCAATGGTCTCAAGTTGTGGTAGGAGAGGTCCAGGTTGGATATTAGGAAAAACTATTTCACTAGGAGAGTAGTGAAGCACTGGAATGGGTTACCTAGGGAAGTAGTGGAGTCTCCATCCCTAGAGGTGTTTAATTCTCGGCTTGACAAAGCCCTGGCTGGGTTGATTTAGTTGGGATTGGTCCTGCCTAGAGCAGAGGGCTGGATTTGATGACCTTCTGAGGTCTCTTCCAGCTCTGTGGTTCTATGATTCTATGATTCTCTGGCCCAAGGACTGTTGGTTGCTGCTCACAGAGGAGGGCACGGCCTCAGGGACAGTGTGTGCATGGATAACTGACTGCCGCTCCCTCTTTTTATTGTCCACAGCTGGACCAGCTGGGACTGAGGGGCAAGACATGCCACCCAAGCCAGCTGCCCGACCCCGGGGGGCCTGAAAGTGCTCCAGGGTCCAGGAAGCCCTTATGAGGCAGCATGTGGGTGTCCTGAGTAACATGCAGCAGACCCTGGTGCAGAACGTCTGGGAGGACACACAGTGGCAGACCCACATGTGGGCCCAGCTCACGTGGCAGGGTGAAAACATGTGCCATCAAGCGGGAAATGATGGCACACCCGGCTGCTGTCGCTGCAACTGCCTACTACCCTCCTATCCCCCCTGCTATGCCCATTCCCCCTCCCCGTACCTCTCTTGACATCCGTGACTCTGCTCCAGCCCCTCTCTCCTGCCCACACCTCTGTGGTCCCAGGACCCACCCAACCCCAAGTTCGACAAGGTCCCCACACCCACAGACCCTGGTGCAGAACGTCTGGGAGGACACACAGTGGCAGACCCACATGTGGGCCCAGCTCACGTGGCAGGGTGAAAACATGTGCCATCAAGCGGGAAATGATGGCACACCCGGCTGCTGTCGCTGCAACTGCCTACTACCCTCCTATCCCCCCTGCTATGCCCATTCCCCCTCCCCGTACCTCTCTTGACATCCGTGACTCTGCTCCAGCCCCTCTCTCCTGCCCACACCTCTGTGGTCCCAGGACCCACCCAACCCCAAGTTCGACAAGGTCCCCACACCCACGGTGGCACATCCAGCCACCCCCATGCCACTTCCAGACCTGAGCCCTACCCCCTCCAGGTTATGAGCCTCCTGCACCCTCCCCAGCTTTCTTTAATGAAATATTAATACAAAGTTTGTTGTGTTAAAATACAAATAGGTGGTTTTATTCATAGTTCAGGGGAGGGAGGGAGGAAGGAGTTGTGGTGGGAAAGGGATATTGGAGCAAGGCCCAGGCCCCTAGGGGGGAGGCCCTGGGAGAGTTACTGGGGCTCTTGAGAGAAACTCTTCCTCAGGGCCTCCTGGATGCGCACCCCCAATTGATGGACCTGGAAGATGGCAGCTGTCCACACCTGCTCAAAGGGTCTCCTTTCACGGCCTGCCTCTGCCCCCCACATAGGTAGGAAAGCCACCCCTTACTCTCCACAATGTTGTGGAGGACACAACACACCGAGACAACCTTAGTCCCCATTATATTGTATGTGTAGGTGGGATTATTTTTTCCAATGTGCATTACTTTACATTTATCAACATTGTTTCATTTGCCATTTTGTTGCCCAGTCACATAGTTTGGTGAGAACTGTTTGAAGCTCTTCACAGTCTGCTTTGATCTTAACTATCTTGAGCAGTTTAGTATCATCTGCAAATCTTGACACCTCAGTTTACCCCTTTCTCCAGATCATTTATAAATAGGCTGAATAGGACTGGTCCCAGTATGGACCCTTTGGGGACACCACTAGTTACCTCTTTCCATTCTGAAAACTTACTATTTATTCCTACCCCTTGTTGCCTGTCTTTTAACCATTTCTCAATCCATGAAAAGACCTTCTCTCTTATCCCATGACAACTTACTTTGCTTAAGAGTCTTTGGTAAGGGACTTTATCAAGAGCTTTCTGGAAATCTAAGTACACTATATCTACTGGTTTCCCCTTGTCCACATTTTTGTTGACCCTCTCAAAGAACTCTAGTAGATTAGTAAGGCTTGATTTCCCTTTAAAGAACCCATGTTGACTTTCCCTCAACAAATTATGTTGATCTATGAGTCTGGCCATTTTTTTTCTTTACTATAGTTTCAACTAATTTGCCTGGTATTGATATTAGAGTTACCAGTCTGTAATTGCAAGGATCACCTCTAGAGCCCTTTTTAAATATTGGCATCACATTATTAGGTATAGAAGCTAATTTAAAGGATAGGTAATAAACCACAGTTACTAATTCTGCAATTTCCCATTTGAGTTCTGTCAGAACTCTTGAATGAATGCCTTCTGGTCCCGGGTCCAGTGTGTTTCAGCAGCAGCCCTGGGAACTACAAGTTGTGGACTACAAACTGCAGCATGTTGGGAGAACTTCCTGGTCCTTCCAGGATGTGCCCTCTGCCCTCAGCAGGGACTGTGCTAGAAACAGCACACAGGCTGTATGCTGAGAGGAGTGGCTGCTGAACTGTGATCCTGTTTTATGTTTTTTACAGAATAAAGCCTGTTCCTAGTGATTTGTCTGAGTGGGTCTGGTCTGAGGTGCACCCACATCCAGAATACCCAGCGCAGAGCACACCAAGCAGCCTCAGGCCTAGCCTCCCAGGCTGGGTCTAGACTGCATCCCTCTGCCGAGAGAGGGATGCAAATCAAACACTTTGAAAGTGCAAATGAACCCGGGATTTAAATATCTCAGGCTTCATTTGCATACTCACGTTCTGATGCTGTGCCAATCAGGCTCAGTGTTGAAAGTGAAAGTAAAGTGTAGCCGCGGCTCTGCTGACAGTGGGGAGCTTTTTCGGCAGATCCTGTACTCCTCATTTTTTGAGGAATACAGGATCTGCCGAAAAAGCTCCCTGCTGTCAGCAGAGCCGCGACTACACTTTACTTTCACTTTCGACACTGAGCCGGAACGTGAGTATGCTAATGAAGCCCGGGATATTTAAATCCCAGGCTCATTTGCACTTCCAAAGTGCTTGATTTGCATTCCACTGTTGGCAGAGGGATGCAGTCTGGACGTAGCCTTTGAGTGCTCCTTTGGCATCTCAATCGTCCAGGGGCCCCACTGGTTGTTAAGCCAGGCTTCCTGCTT